CTCGCTAGTGACTTGCTACAGGTTGGAGTTTCCTGAGTTCTAGTGAGAAGTCGTGACCAGCGACGTCCAATTAGATGTCACGTGTGTGGATGGATGTCCCACCAAGGACATTGGTCGGTGGGGTCGCGCTAAATCACGAATTCGTCGAAGTTAGAATTCATGACCCATTGAATCGGGTCCCAGTGACCTAATGGTATACGAGCTACCTTGTCTTGTCACCGGAAAGTCCTGGGTCCGAACCGCCTGTGGTGGGTGTGTACTAGTGATGATTCCCAGACTAGGATGAAACAGCAGCTGTCCAGTACTCCAGTGCTGGTTTTCAATGGTTCTCTAACTGATATGAATCCGTGATCAACTCGTAAAAACATAACTAACCCTTACAAAATCAAACTATAGAAAATATTAGTCAATAACAATATTAGTGTCTTTTAAATGATGTCGATTTGTAAAGTAAGATCACAATGTAATTACAGTTCATTAAAGATGCTTAAATAATAATAATAATAATTATTATTATTGTTCCCTTGGGTTCCTAGTGGAACATAGGGCTTCAACTGCACGTCTCCATTTTCTTCTGTCTTCTGCTGTACTTTTCGCCTGCATCCATGTTAATCCATATTCTTTCAACTCCTCTTCACACGATCTCCTCCATGTCACCCTTGACGTCCCGCCGCTTCCCTTTCGGGTTCCACTCGAGGGCTTGGCGCGCGATGTCACCCAGCGGTCTCCTCAGCGAGTGTCCGATCCATCTCCACTTTCTCCTGCATATTTGTTGGGCGATTGGTTCTTGCTTTGTTTGTTCCCATAATTCCTTGTTGGTGATTCTTTCCGGCCATCTGATCTTCAGTAAGAGCGAAGACAGTTGTTAATAAAGGTCTGCAACAGGCTTTGGAAATATTCTTTGTGACCCGCCGCCAAGTTTCTGATCCGTATAGAAGAACTGACTTTACGTTTGTATTGAAAATCCGAATTTTGTTGGTGATGCTGAGTGACGAAGATTTCCAGATTGATTTCAGGCTGATGAATGTGTTTCTCGCCTTCCCGATTCTCGATTTGACATCCTCGTCCGTTCCCCTGTAGTTGAGACAATGCTCCCTAGATAAGTGAATGAAGTAACCTCTTTCAAATCCCTCCCGTTGATGGTGATTGACGTTGGATGTTGTTGCTGTTGTTGGTTGGTTATTTTCATAACCTCCGTCTTGTCTATGTTTACCTGGAGTCCTGTCTTCGCCGGCTGCTTCTTCGACCAGTTTGTCGGTTTTCGCTTGTAAGTCTTCGATTGTGTGTGACATCAAACATAAATCATCCACGCGAAATCCAGGTCTTCTAGGTTCTTCACGTCGGTCCAGGATATTCCTGTCTTCTCGTTTCCCACTGTCTGACGCATAATCCAGTCCACCACAATTAGGAATATCATTGGTGAATAAGCACCCTTGTCTGACTCCTGTGTTTACTCCAAACGCCTCGCTGAGTCTTCCGTTGTGGATCACTTGGCAGGTGCCGTTGTCGTACAGCTGTTGAATAAGGTTGATGAATATTTGGGGTACGCCATAGTACTCGAGTAATTTCCAAATTACTTCACGATCAACGCTGTCGAAGGCCTTCTCAAAGTCTATAAAGTTGAGGTAGAGGTTTGATTGCCATTCCATGCTTTGTTCGTGATGATGATGCGTAGAGTTGCAATTTGGTCAGTACATGATTTGCCTTTCCTGAATCCAGCTTGTTCTGGTCGGAGTTCTGTCTCCAGTGCGTCCTTTAATCTCTCCAGGATGATGCGACTCAGGATTTTACTTGGCGTCGATAGGAGCATGATTCCTCGCCAGTTCTTGCAGAGTGAGGCTAAGTCGCCCTTCTTTGGTAGTTTCACGAGGTAACCTTTCCTCCAGTCAGTAGGCACCTTTCCCTCCTTCCAGACCTTTTGCAATAATGGAGTCAGCATGTCTGCTTTCAGTGCTTCAGGGGGTATTCCATCTGGTCCGGCTGTTTTTCCAGCTTTCAGAAGTTTGATTGCATTCAAGACTTCAGCTCTCGTTGGAGGATTGGTGTCAACTTGCAGTTGTGTGCGCGCTGTTGTTGGTATTTCTGGACGGGTTGCAGGTGATGGTCGGTTCAAGAGTCCTTTGAAGTGATCCGCCCATTGTTTAATCTGTTTTTCTTCCTTGGTAATGGGTTCCCTTGGCTGTCTTTTATAGGTTTCGCTTGTGTTAGAGATTTGGTTATCTGATATAGTGTCCTCAGGTCCCTTTTGCCTGCTGCCTTCTCAGCTTCAGTGGCGATTGTCGTAGAATCGTCTTTTGTCCTTCCTAGCACTCTTCTTCACTTCTTTGTCCAGTGCTTTGTAAGTTGAGCTCATCGTCTCCTTCTCCTGTCCGTCCTTGCATTGAATCATTTTCTCTTTCACCATTCTCCTCTCTTCTATTAATTTCCAAGTGTCCGTTGAGAGCCATTCCTTGTCTTGTCTCTTCTTTCTTCCTAGAACCGTTGAACACGTTTCGTTGAGAATCGCCTTCAGAGACTTCCAATGTTCTTCCACGCATGATTCTTCAGTGATGTCGCGTAGTGTTTCCTGCTTTGCTCTGACAGTTGCAGTGAAGGTGTCTTTTGTGGTTGTGTCCTTCAGTAATTGAGTGTTGAACTTGCATTGTGGCCTATCCCCAGCTATCCTCGAGGCTTTTAGTTTCACCTTGAAAGTCCCTTCTACTAGATAGTGGTCTGAACCCACATCTGCTCCTCTCCTTGACCTTGTGTCCAGTAGGCTCCGTCTCCACTTTCTTGAAATTGAGATGAAGTCTATTTGATTCTTGGTGTTTCCATCTGGTGAAATCCATGTCGTCTTGTGTATATCCTTGTGTTTGAACACACTACCGCCAATCACCAAATCATTGAAGGCGCAGAAGTCTGAGAAGAGTTCACCATTGTCGTTCATTTCACCGAGGGCCTCACGACCCATGGTGAGTTCTCTTCCTGTGTTGTCTCCTCCCAGCTTCGCATTCATGTCGCCCATCAGGATTTTGATATCGCCATTTGGGACGTTGTCCATTATTGCTTGTAGTTGTCTGTAGAACGCCTCCTTCTCTTGTTCTGAGACGTAATAATAATAAAGATAGAGTATCAAATAGAATATCAACTAAAATTAGGAAAATTCCAGAAAAATTGAGGATCATTCAAACCTGGATGGCCAAGCGGTAAGGATAATGTTTGAACTAACCTCTTTTGGATGCAGAAATCAGGCTTGTTAATATGGATCCCAACAGTCAATCTTAACAATATTTAGTAATCGAACTCTTAAGGCGAAATTGACATTTGTTGGTATGCGGTAAATGACTCTGAAAACCGCTTTGTGAGCATCAATCTTGTGTTTTTTTTTCGGAAATTCGACGAGAAACACGCCTAATTGTACAGCCTATGCAAGTAACTGGCTCACTGCACTGCGCAGCAGTTCAGTTGGTAGATACATATGGAAGTGGCGAAATTAAGCAGTTTATCTTTTACTCCTGAACACAAAAGAGAAGTGGTTTTGAAGACACTTATTAGCTCTATTGAAATTTCAACTCTTTCAATTTCCCGGTTAGATTTCTTCATGAGTTGATATCATATAATGTAGAGAACCACTGACAACCGGAGAGCTGTAGACATCTGTCTCGTCTTAATTCGGGATCGTTTAACAGGTCGCATCTACCACCTCATGAAGGGATGACATGAGTCATCTGACCACCAAAGCAAACTTGTCGGATTTGAATATCCCTTGAACTCATTTAAATCTGGCCATTTAGACGACGGATAATCTACTCACATGATGACATGCCAGTTAAGGTCGAAGAGTTTCAGATTAGCTTCACATTATACCTTTTCGCCTACAATCAGTGAAATAATAGATTAAGAAAGCTACTCTATGGTCTTACCTCTGTTTAAAAAAAGAGAGAATGAAACAGTGGGACTGTTTTTTGTTCACAACCCCACTGATTTTTGTGATGAAACTACAATTATTGACTTAAACACTTGGCTTTCGAAGTTCTGAAGTCGCATCGCTTTCAGCATACCTTGATCATAAGCCAATTCTGATTAAGTTTGATTCAAAACTTTGCATGCAAGAAACACTGTGGTTTGTTAATAAAGCTTTTACGAGTTGATCACGGATCGATATTAGATAGAAAACCGTTAAAAACCACCACTGGAGTACTGGACAGCCATCTGTTTCATTCTAGTTTGGGAATCATCGCCACTACGCACCCACTCCACAGGGGAGCTCGAACCCACGACCTTCCAGTTACAAGGCAAGCTAACTCGTATACCATTCAGCCACTGGGACACGATTCAATAACCACCCCATGAATTCTAGGTTCTACTAATTCGGAATTAAGCGCGCCCCCAACCATTGTCGTTGGTGGGCAATCCATCGTCACACGTGTCATCTGGATGGACCTCACTGGTGACGACTTCTCATTAGAATTCCAGGAAAATCCATCCTGTAGCAAGTCACTAGCGAGCATCATATTAATTTTCCATTTTTCCATCCAGATGTCACGTGTGACGATGGATTGCCCACCAACGACAGTGGTTAGGGTCGTGCTAAATCACGAGTCGGTAGAAGTTATAATTCCTGGGCTGGTCATTGAATCAGGTCCCAGTGGCTGAATAGTATACGAGTTAGCTTGCCTTGTAACTGGAAGGTCGTGGGTTCGAGCTCCCTGTGGAGTGGGTGCGTACTGGTGATGATTTCCAAACTAGAATGAAACAGATGGCTGTCCAGTACTCTAGTACTGGTTTTCAATGCTTGTCTAACTGATATCAATCCATGATCAACTCATAAAAACAAAACTAACCCTTACAAACCAAACTATAGAATATTAATAAAGTGTTATTAGAACGTCATCTTTCTCAGTGTGTTATAAAAGTATTACTTCTTATTATCATATACGCATATAACTGTGCAATCATCTCTTGTCTTCCCGTCAGTTGAAAACCGCATATTGAATTTTGTTTCCCTCTTTACGTAATAGAATGGATTGTCGTATTTGTCATCTACCATCTGCCTCTGAAAATAGCTCTATTCGAGTAGCCTTTCCTATCACCTCATCACGATGCGCTGTATGCAAGACTGCCAATGTTCCAGATCTGCTATTCTCTTCGTCAGACTTTCCTTCAGAAATGTTAGTTATCGGTAATCCAGCTTTAATACAAGCCAGGTTAGTTTAAATGTAAATATTTTCAAACATTATATATATATATATATTATATTTATTGTTCCCTTTGGTTCCTAGTGGAACATATTATTATTATTATTACTTAAACTCATATAAACTTGGTACAATATGGCACCAAGAAGGATGTGCCACACAATAATAATAAAACAACATAGATCAAAAGAAAAAAATATATAAGTAGAGAACGGATAAAGAACTTCATCTGGAAGGAAAACAGTCATGCTTAACAAGTTCAAACAGTATTCGTTAACTATCATCAGGAAGGGAAGAGAGAAGGAAATTGCAACACGTGCAATAGCACGCGATAAGTTTCATTGATTGTTTGTTGCTTCATTCAATTCATTGTGTGAGGGCTGAGATACTGCCCGGGCGCCCAGACCGAAGCAGGTGGTTTTATTAAGGGGCCACCCCCGAGCCTTTGACTTGTAGTCTAATCCGAAAGGCAGCGTCAGGAGCTGCATTCCCATAGTTTCCGGTGACCCATATGGGTTGATACGCCATTTGATCTGATTGGATACTGGAGCCCCTGTACCCCATGATAACTGCTTTTAGTTTAAGCGCTATCCAACAACCTTCGTGACATGGTAGGACCTGCAGGAACAGAGTCCTAGTCAGTTTAGCATGTTGGGTCATTACGGCATTCAAGCTCGACCACCACGACAAGGTAGCAGTTATCGGCCGAGTAGTGGAACATATGGCTTCAACTGCACGTCTCTACTTGTCACTTCTGTCTTCTGCTGTACTTTTTACCTCCATCCATGTTAGTCCATACTGCTTCAACTCCTCCTCACACGAACTCCTCCGTGTCACCCTTGCACTGACGTCCCACTTGCCGCTTCCCTTTCGGTTGGGTTTCACTCGAGCAACGGCTTGACGCGCGTGCGATGTCACCCAGCGGCCACCCCAGCTACGAGTGTCCAATCCATCTAGATCCACTTTCTCCTGCATATTTGTTGGGCGATTGGTTCTTGATTTGTTTGTTTGTTCCCATAGTTTCTTGTTGGTGATTCTTTCCGGCCCGGCCATCTGATATTCAATACAGAGCGAAGGCAGTTGTTAATAAAGGCATCTGCAACAGGCTGTTGGAAATATTCTTTGCGACCCGCCCGCCAAGTTTCTGATCCGTATAGAAGAACTGGCTTGACATTTGTATTGAAAATCTCAACTGGATTTTGTTGTTGATGCTGGCTGAGTGACGAAGATTTCCAGATGGGTTTCAGGTTGATGAATGTGTTTTTCGCCTTCCTGATTCTCGCTCAATTTGACATCCTCGTTCGTTCCAACTGTCTGTAGTTGAGACAATGCCCAATGCTAGATAAGTGAAGTGAATGAAGTAACCTCTTCCAAACCCCTTCCGTTGATGGTGATTGGCTGCTGGATGTTGCTGTTGTTGTTATTGTTTGGTTTTGTCTATGTTCATCTGGAGTCCTGTCCTTTCCCCCACCATATCATAGCATTATCAGTCATCAATGAATAGAATGCGATTCCCATACTTAAATGAATCGATACTTTCAGTGCTGACAAGTTAAGCAAAGGTTTTCATGCCTGTTTACAAATTTGATTCATGCACGTAAATCTCTTGTCCTCTTACTCACAGAAATTATGCTGTTTGTTTGTCTTTCTTTCTTCCCCTGCACAGGGTTTGTCGAATGAAAAAAGACACTAAAGGCGAAACGGCAGCAAGTGAATTGAGTGAGGTTAGATTGCCTAGTTTTTTTTGTCCACTAGTCGTTAATATTTACTCATCATATTTTTGAACAAAGAAAAAAAGAAACATTGGCGCGCAGAATAATCTGGATCCATTTTATTTCGTTGGTTTTTATCAACTGCATACAACCTTTGTCCATTAGCACGCATATTGTCAGAGCGTCATAGTGAAATAAGGCGTTGAGATTTATAGGCTGTCTAGAGTGTCACGACATATATATATATATCTTGGTAGAGAGAAGGGTCTTACGAAAAAAAATTTATAAACAGTTTTGTTGTTTTTGGGGTGGTAACAAGAGAAAATTACCAATAATTACGTAATTAGATAAGAGAAGGTCAAAATTTTAAAATTTCGGTGCACATGAGGTCAGATGAGAAGTTGATGATGTAATACAGTGAGCAGAACTCAGTAGATCAAGAAAAATGATCTCTTATGAGAATCAAGGGAAAAATAAAGGGGGGGGGAGGAATGAAAAGACAAGGTAACAAAATAAGAAAACAAAGAGTTACTAAGAAGTGAGTCACCAGGGTAATTGAATTCCAACAACGGATTCTTTTTGGACACATAAGTCAGGCTTCAATCGTTTTATTGCTATACCCTCAGCAAACCTGAGAAAACTTGAGGTACAACTTTGTCTGTTAATTATTTTGAATGATTCCAGCACATCTACTCGGTGCTGTCCTGTGTCAATCAGGTGTTTGGCGGCGATTGTAGAGCTTAAACAATTCAGTCCCTTTAACCGGAGGCTCGCTCCTCGGTACATGTTCGCAGAATCTGACTTAGGCCCTTCTCTCTGTTCTTCCAATGTAACTGCTCCCGCAGATACATGTGAATCGGTATACACAGTTGAAGGTAACATGTGAGGGTTACTTGTCAATCTTTGACTGCACCAGTGAGGAGGTTGTTAATGATAATGATAGTGATAATAGCTTTATTCCAAAACAGTACTTGTGATACAGAATGGAATTCTCAGCATTTCACTACATGCAGTATTGCATCCAGTTAGTAAATTAACAATAAAATAAAATTCTACATAGATTAAGGGTAATCTCAGTTAGTTTTGTCAACAACATATTAGCATGTCGGTAGCAAAGCCAAAATTAAACAGAGTGTTTGAAGGTGCTAGAAAAGTAGATACCAGCATATTTACTGGCGTAAGCAGAAGAAAGAAACAAAGCTGCACATAACAAAAAAAGAGAGAGAGAGAAAAGGAAAAGAAAGAAAGGAAACGTTGTACCTATACATGATATGAGTTGGAAAGACGAGATCCAGTTGTTCTACTGACTATTTAATAAGTTATAGGTATCACACCTAATGCTTTCTTTATCGCACAGAACACGAACGAGTAAAGTAGGATATGGTTGAGGTTTTGTACTTGCTAGTGCGAGCATATAGTTTCCTATATAGCCTTCTGGTCCTGACTGATGAGATAGATACAAGGGGAGAGTTGCGAATGAAGAGGGTGGTGTGAGTTAGATAAAATGGATTTAGCCCATTTTTCACATGAATCCATGTGCCTGTCAACCAGAATAATAACAAGCTGGTTAAGTGGCACCCTGTGGCTTACCCTACAACCTTTAACATCCTCGTAATAAGAAGTCTTTCTTCAGTAGCCCTGGTGAAACTAAGAGGGAACAATAGAGAATAATCGGCAGGATGCAAGAGTTAACGAATCGTAAGTGTAAGGTTTGGGTTATTCCAGAATGTCTTAACTTCTTGATGTAGAAGGTGAAACGGAATATTTTCTTAGAAATCATCAAGATATGAGACGACCAGGAAAGATCAGCAGATAGAATGACGCCTAGGTATTTAATTTCTGACTTGGTTTCTATTTCAGTGCCATCTATGTTGCACACCTCGTGAGTTCTAACCGGTTTGTTTAGGTCAGATTTTTGCCTAAAGGTGAAATTGACCGTTTGGCATTTGGAGGGGTTTAAGGTGAGACCGTTTTCCTTGGACCACTAGCTGACTTCTGATAGAAAGTCGTTTAGTTTAGTGCAGTCACTTTGACATTTGACAGGCAAAGATACAGTTAGGTCATCAGCATATTTGACAAAATTAATGTCATTTGCAGATGGTAAGTCATATAGAAAGAAAGAAAAGAGAAGTGGGGAAAGTACAGCACCTTGGGGGACACCAGCTTCAGTGAACACAGCAGATGAGGATTTGCCTTTGTATACGGTATACTGCATTCTGTTTGAAAAGTAGGAATGCAACCAGTTAGTGACCCAGGATTCAGTTTGTGTCATAGAGAGCTTATTTAGCAAGAGACATCTAGGTACAGAGTCGAAAGCAGAAGTGAAGTCAAGAAACGTGCAGCGGACATATTTGGCACCTTTGTCTAATGATGAGACGATACTGTTGTGTAAGACGGCTGCAGCGTCTAAAGTGCTCCTACCCTGTCTATAGGCAAATTGTTTGGGGTCTCGAAGCTTTTAAGGGAGGGTTCGAGTTTAAGAAGTACTAGTTCAGGGAAGGGAGACTATTAACGCTGAGGATATGTCCTAGACAGGGCTGCGCTTAATCTTTTATTGATCATTCTCATAATGTCGTCTCCCTTATAGTCGAGTGTGATGAAAATAGGCTTCTTACTGACTGTAGCTGTCTGCATCAAGCTTCTTGAGAGTTCATCCTTGCCATATTTGTTTGTTAATGAAACTTTGTGGGTAACCATTTTCTCTCTTTCAAGCATTTTTCATATTTTTCCTCTTACAGATTCTTCCCTTTATTGATTATGAACTTCATTATCGACTTATGCAAAAGCTGAGGGTAATTCTACTTTTAAATTCCATCACGCTCTTCCTTATTATTATAATCAAAATCTTATTTTAGTTACGTAGTATGAATGGGTTATTTGGATTGAGATATCGTTTAGCTATAGGTGAATATATGATTGCTGCTATTGCTGTAAGTTTGTAGGTTGGTTTTATTTTTTACATTTTCTTGTTTGTTTTTTCATTTATTCACTATAGTATATAACTAGAATGATAAGTGTATAATATGAAATTTGTTGTTTGGTGACTAGCAGTAGAATCAAGGATTCTCATTTCGTCGTATATATATATATATATATATATATATATATGACTCGTCATATTCTGTCGACCGAGAGGTTCTTTTGCGATGCTTGGCTATCAAGGGAATGCCGTGAAAATACATTTCACTGATCAAGGAACTCACTCTACTCGAACTTATGCCATCAGCCAGGTGAGGGCTTACGGCTAGTCGTCATATGACGTGGTGACAACTAGTGGTGTCCGTCAGGGATGCCCACTATCCCCACTTCTATTCAATTTCATCGTAGATGTAATAATGGACGTAACCTTAAGTGACGTCAGCGACTCAGGATTGACATTTTACCAGGGAATAATCTTGTTGACTTAGAATGTGCAGATGATGTAATCCTCTCTCCTAGGTGAGGACGCTGACAGAAATGGAACAGAGTCATCTGAACTCCTTGAGCTACAATCGACGTATGTTTGGCAATGTACATGATGTTACTGGACTACACTGACGCGTAGTTTAGAAATAGGGAGTGAAGTGGTAGAGCACGTTGACCGTTTCACTTATTTGGGAAGTACCATCAGCCCCAATGAGTTGACCTCTGACGAAATCTCAGCACGGATACAGAGGGCCAGTTTCGCATATGCCACTTTACGCCGTCTCTGGCGTAGACGTGATATCCGGCTATCGACCAAAGGGTGTGTGTACTGCTCAGCAGTTTGATCCGTCCTCCTTTATACCTTTGAGCGAGACCTAGCCATTGAGAGTGGAAGACATGAAAAGATTAGCTTTTTACGACCATATGTGCCTCGGTTCTATCTCCCGTGTGAAGTGGTATAATAAGGTAAGCAATATTGAGGTTAAGCTTCGGTCGAGTGCTAGGTAGGTGGGAGGTTAAGTCAATCAACGAAGCTGTGAAGCTTCATTGACTGAGATGGTTGGGACATGTGTTACGAATGAATGCCTAGTCATCGCCTACCTCGAAACAGGAAATGTTAGCTGAGATAGGGTCAGGCTGGAAAGAGATAGCACGTTGTGGTCAAACCAAAACATGGCTTCATCAGTCAATGAAATCCACAACAAATAGTTTAAGCCAATCAGCCAACCACGTAGGAAGGTGTAGACTCCTGACTAGTTGTGGTCCTCGGGACGGTACAAACCAATGAAGGCTGGAGACAGTCGGTGATATGGCTCGAAATCATTCTCAATGGCTAGCGCAGAGACATCCACTCCCTGTGACATATTACTTTCAGTGAAACTATATTGTTTTTCGTTATTACTATTCTTTTGTCTCACACCTCTTTTTGCTGTCTATATTATGAATTTCTTCTCTTGCTTTGTGTGCTACATGGAGGGAGTGTGGGTACTTGAAGTGCTGAACATCGGTGCAAAGTTCTATGTCGAAAATAGAAAGACAGACAGAGGTCATTCGGATTCATTTTGGAATTCCCATTGAGTAGTGACGGTTATCTCACTGATGCTTAAACCCTGTAACCGCCATCATTAATTTAAAACGCCAGAGCATTATCTTCACTAGACCACTTTGACCACCCCAGCCCAACCTCTTATGGACAACGTCTTGGCGTTTGAAATTATGAAGGCCACTGGCTTCAAACCTCACTGGGGAAGCAAGTGCATGCAGACGATGAGTCTCAAATAGGACGAAATGTACATGCTGTATCTTCTATTGCTACTAATCATCTTCCATCAAAGCGTCCACACTAGGAGTCGAGATATGTCAACAGGGCCAGAGATTTTTCAGTCCAGTCAATCAACGGGAAAATCGGAACTGAGTTGAAAAAAGTATAAGGGTAATACATTTAATGGGAATCAGTAACTGTTCAGTCCCAGTGGAACTTTCTAACATAGTGGAAAAAAAGCATGTTCATCTCAGCTGACAAACCAAATTTCAGCTGTATTCTTCTCCAGTCTCTTTCTACTCCAAGAAGAATAAAGCTCAGGCTTCATCTCATTTTGTTTTTACCTTGAAAAATATATGCGGCTTATTTTGATTTTTTTCTAGATATGCCTAAACCAACGTATTCCTGAGGTTATATGTACATGATAAGTTGCTCTAGATCACATTGTTCCAGAAATAAACCCCACTGTTGTATGCGCTTCCTTTTTAGACTGGTACTGGTGTATATATCAGTGCATTGCCGCCACCTCCACCGCCTAGGATAATTCCATCTTTACAGGTGAGTTAATCACTTCTTTACAAAAAATAATAATGATAACAATTTGCTTTATTCCAAAACAGTACTTGTAATACAGAATGGAATTCTAAGCATTTCACTACATACAGTATTGCATCCAGTTTGTACATTAACAATAAATAAAATTCTACATAGATTATGGGCAGTCCCAGTTAGTTAATTTTGACAACAACATATTAGCATATCGGTATCATAGCCAAAAAGTGAACAGAGTGCTTGAAGGTGTTAGAAAAGTAGATACTACCGTATTTACTGGCGTAAGTGGTAACAAAAAGGTCGAGATATACAGAGTGGGAAAGAACGAAGAAGAATGTTCTAAGTAGAGTTTGTAAGGAAGAGAGAAACAAAGCAGCACATAACTACAACAAAAAAGACAAAAGGAAAAGAAAGAAAACGTTATACCTATAAATGATATGAGTTGGAAAGACGAGACCCAGTTGTTCTATTGACTATTTATTAAGTCTTAAGTTTCACACCTAATGCTTTCCTTATCTCACAGAACATGAGCCAAGTAGGTATAGTATGGTTGAGCTTTTGTACCTGCTAGTGCGAGCATATAGTTTTCTAAAGAGGCTTCTGGTCCTGCCGGATAAGATAGATACAAGGGGAGAGTTATGAATGAAGAGGGTGGTAGTGGGAGTTATATAGATAGAATGGATTGGGTCCATTTTTCACATGGGTCCAAGTGCTTGTTGACTAGAATATTAACAAGCTGGTTAAGTGGCACCCTGTGGCTTATCCTGCTGACAACCTTTAACACCCTACGTAATAAGATAGAATCCTTCTTCAGTAGCCCTAGTGAAAGTAAGGGGAAGCAATAGAGAATAATAGACAGGATGCAAGTGTTAACGAATCGTGAGAGTAAGGGTTGGGTTGGGTTATTCCAGAATGTCTTAACTTCTTGACATCCTGCTTATTATTCTCTATTGTTCCGCTTAGTTTTCCCAGGGCTACTGAAGAAGGACTATATGTTATTACGTAGGGTGTTAAGGTTGTCAGCAGGTTAAGCCACAGGGTGCCACCTCACCAGCTTGTTAATATTCTGGTCGACAGGCGCTTGGACTCATGTGAAAAGTGGGCTTAATCCATTCTATATATCTAACTCACACCACCGTCTTTATTCACAACTCTCCCCTTGTATCTCTTCAGGAAAGACCAGAAGCCCAGATAGAAAACTATATGCTCGCACTAGCAAGTACGAAAACTCGTTTTCTGTGCGATAAAGAAAGCACTAGGCGTGAAACTTATAACAAACGTATTACAAAGATAACTAGCTTGATGCGCATTCTTAGCCATTCTTAGCTAATCACTCCTGCTACCGCTGTTACTGTTTCTGTCATATATAAGGAAAAAATTCTTATTTTATCTCTTCTCTAGTCATCATCCATACCCGAAGATCGATGTGCTTATGAACGTTTGAAAAAACAAGTAGATGACTATCTTCGAAAAAATCGTCAACTGTACGGAATCTCTGTAAGTTTCTTGTCTTTATTTGTTTGTTTGGTTGGTTGGTTGGTTGATTGTAATCCATTGCATTGCGTTAATAACATGGTTTCAAGTTTCGAAATTTCACTGACCGGTGGTTTCGTTTTCACCCGAGGAAAGGGGGGGGCGCAGGGGTTTGGTTGCTAGCCTCATGCCCAACCTTATTTCTCTTCTCCGTTTATTGTGAGTGTGGTGTGGGAGTAAAACAGCCGGACATAGACCTCTGAACTTTCGTACATGGTTGTTGACGAGCATTCTACCCTAGAACCATTGACGCTAAGTTCTCCACTAATCTGACTTCTGGTGAACAGAGGTGAATAAGATTCGTGACCAACAGAACAACCGACGAAAATCAGTCAGCAGAAATAGGAGGAATATGAAGGAAACAGCCTCCCTTACCTACCTACCTGAGAAGCATCGTTTCCACTACAGCTGGGTGAAAGCAAGACGAGCTTATATCACTCTCCATAGTCTGTGTTCAAACCAATAGCACTCAACGTGAAAAATAAGATCCGGATTTTCAACTCCAATGTGCAATCATTGCTGGTGATTCTTTTCGGCCCGGCCATCTGATCTTCAGTATAAATCCAGCGAAGACAGTTGTTGATAAAGGCCTGATCTGCAACAAGCTGTTGGAAATATTCTTTGTGACCTGCCCGCCAAGATTCTGATCCGTATAGAAGAGCTGATTAACTTGACGTTGTTTGTATTGAAAATCCGACTGAATTTTGTTATTGATGCTGGCTGAGTGACGAAGGTTTCCAGATTGATTTCACGTTGATGAATGTGTGTGTTTCTCGCCCGATTAGACATCCTCGTCCGTTCCAACTGTCTGTAGTTGAGACAATGCCCAATGCTAGATAAGTGAAGTGAATGAAGTAACCTCTTTCATCAAATCCCTCTCGTTGATGTTGATTGGCGCTGGATGTTTCTGCTGTTGTTGGTTGGTTGGTTATTTTCATAACAAACTACTAACTCCTTGATAATTACCAGACAATATTTGTTTTCGTCTTGACTGTAATATCAAATCCTGTCTATATGCTGCATCCTTTTCTAATTCTCTTTTGTCTTCTTTTTTTTTTCAATTTTTTTGTACATTCAGTGATTTTAAATCTCCACCTTTTTGCTTCTTCCTTTTTAGTATTATCCGCTTTACTTGATAGGTGATCTCGAAATGTCACAGTCAGAATTATTTTGTACTGTTAGACAAGCTTCTGTGTGTGTGTGTGTGTGGATGTGTGTGTCTGATGTCCATTTGCCCGTGGGACTACTTTTTTTCTTTGAGATGTTTTAGCATAGAAAAACGTCTTTGTTAGCTATTTCGTGCAAGACTTGAAAGTAAATTTGAACTGTACAATGATCTCTATGGTATGCCAATTCACGATTGACTACCAATCAGAAAAACCAGTAGTGATTTTCACTTCAATAAAGATAACGTTTATCTACAAGAGAAATACAGAGAATAATGATAACACACATACACTTTGAACAAGATATTTTTCCCTGACGTGACTTAAAACTATCTCCCAGTTATAATGATAAGCATCAATTTATAATTTAGACCCCAAGTATTCATCAACCTTATTCAACAGCTGTACGACAAGGGCACATGTCAAGTGATCCACAATGGAAAACTCAGCGAAGCGTTTGGAGTAAACACAGGAGTCGGACAAAAGTCCTTATTATAACCAATATTATTCCTAATTGTGGTGGACTGGATTATGCATCAGACAGTGGGAAACGAGAAGACAGGGCTATCTTGGATCGACGTGAAGAACCTAGAAGACCTGGATTTTGCGCGTGGATGATTTATGTTTGATTTCACATAAAATCGAAGACTTACAGGCGAAAACCGACCGAAAAACTGGTAAAAGAGGCAGCCGAAGAAGACAGGACTCCAGGTGAACATAAACAAGACGGAGGTGATGAAAATAACCAACCAACCAACAACAGCAGAAACATCCAGCGCCAATCAACATCAACAAGAGGGATTTGATGAAAGAGGTTACTTCATTCACTTCACTTATCTAGCATTGGGCATTGTCTCAACTACAGACAGTTGGAACGGACGAGGATGTCTAATCGAGCGAGAATCAGGAAGGCGAGAGAGAAACACACACATTCATCAACCTGAAGTCAATCTGGAAACCTTCGTCACTCAGCCAGCATCAGTAACAAAATTCAGTCGGATTTTCAATACAAATGTCAAGTCAATCAGCTCTTCTATACGGATCAGAATCTTGGCGGGCAGGTCACAAAGAATATTTCCAACAGCTTGTTGCAGATCAGGCCTTTATCAACAACTGTCTTCGCTGGATCTATACTGAAGATCAGATGGCCGGGCCGAAAAGAATCACCAACAAGAAACTCTGGCTGGGAACAAACAAATCAAGAACCAATCGCCAACCAACAAATATACAGAAGAAAGTGGAGATGGATGGAAATGGACACTCGCTGAGGAGGCCACAGGGTAACATCCCGTGCGCTTCAGGCCATTGCTCGATTGGAACCAGACCGAAAGGGAAGCGTTGAGTGGGTCGTCATTGCAAGGGTGACACGGAGGAGATCGTGTGAAGAGGAGTTGAAACAGTATGGACTAAGATGGATACAGGTGAAAAGTACAGCAGAAGGAAGACAGGAGTGGCAAGTGGAGACGTGCAGTTGAAGCCATATGTTCCACAAGGAACCCAAGGAAACAATAATAATAAATATACGTTAGAACAATTTTTGTACAAGTGTCCATCGAGCTGACTGAAGATCAGTTCTTTCTGTAACCCATTTATTCCAGTTATGCTATTTTTCAGTTTTACTCAAAACTCTTAGAGGGTGGACAACTATTTACTAGGCAGTAACTCATCAAAGAAGACATTGCGGCATTGTCGCGCTATGTCGTGAATTGCCAGAAGTGAGAATTCACGGACTGGCCATTGAGAAGTCGTATCCTAATAGCTCAATGGTCTACGAGCACGCTGGCCTTGTGATCAGAAGGTCCTGTGTTTCAACCCTGGCGGTGCGTGCGTACTGTGAAGAGTCCCAAACCGGGCAGTAGTCCCTACTGATTTTCCAGTGGTTCTACAACTAATGTCAGCTCGTGATGAAATCCTCTATCCATTCAAAGGAAACAAAGTCCCTACAAAACCAATACTTGAAAAATACTAGAAAAATGCTGAAAATAATAATAATAAAATACCCTAACTTTAATCATAACGCTGACCAGCTATCAATATATTGTCTAAGCAGTACGTAAAAATGAGGTCGGGATGAAATTCGCACCTCGCCTCATGAGCAGCATTCATAATGGTGCTATAATTAATGATAGGTCTCGTTATCCAACGAATAGTTTACCTACGAGGTGGTTGATGCTTTCGCAATTCTGCATCGCTATACTTAAACTTTGCCAGGTTTGAAAAATCGTTTCCCTTATTCAAATTCAAATGGTTGATAATAATAATTATTATTATTATTTTACTATAGTTGGTTTGTTAGAATTAGTTTTGTTTTCACGAGTTGATCACGTATTGATATCAGTTGGAGAGGCATTGAAAATCGACCAAGGAGTACTCGACAGCTGTTTCATCCTAGTTTGGGAGTCATCGGCAGTACGAACCCACCAAAACTTGTTTTGAACCCAGTACTTTCTGGTCACAAAGCAAGCACGTATACCTTTCAGCCACTGGAACACGATTCACTGACCACCCTATGAATCTTAACTTCTACCAATCCTTGATTTAGCGCGACCACTAACCAATGTCGTTGGTGGGACATTCATGAACTTTAGGTAACCTTGGGCAAATCACCAACCTATTAGAATATTTATTTCTCATCGACCTATCCGAATCGCCCATTAATCAGAGCAATGTATTTCTACTGCCCCAGGCAGATTTTAATGTCGTTAGAAGACATACAAACATGATGTGCTTTTTTTTCGTAATGAAGTTGCATACTAACAGTCACAGGCAAGCCTCTCTTTTTTCATGGCCCAGTGTATGTCTGTCTATCTATTTACAAAATAGAACTTTGTACCGATATGCAGTAGTTCAAGTCGCCACACTCCATGTAGCACACAAAGCAAGAGAAGAAAGTAGAAGAAATGCATAATAGAGACAGTAAACAGAGGTGTGAGACAAAGAAATAGACCCGACCGATAGCTGCTACCTTGACGTCGTGGTCAGGCTTGCACATCGCAATCACTGAACAAGCTAAACTGTCTGGAACCAATGTTCCCGCAGGTCCTACCGTGCCACCAACGTTGTTAGGATAGCGATTAGACTGAAAGCAGTTACTGGCATTGTGTAAGAATCTTTCTTGCATATGCTGGGGGACTGGGAGCGAATCCGTACTGATGGGGAACAGGGATGTAACGGCAGTGAAGTGTCTTCATCAGGTGACCAGTATGCCAGCCAGCTATCCTTTCTCTTCTTTCTGGAGAGAAGGGGTTAGAAAAGGTTGACCTCAAAAAGTGTACATCCCGAATTACTACGCATACGGTGGTCCGTAAGCAGCGGTAAGTTTTCTAATACGGAACCAAACCCAGAAACCAGTTCATACAGGCTGTGCGTGACGGGCTAGCCTCAAGCAGTTGTCCCCTGGGCTCTGCGGTCATGCAGCACTAACCCTGTCCCTGTTTCAGGTACCCAAAAAATCAACCAACTTCTGTGGTGTGGGCAGCCGGGAAGTAACAACCGCCCACACACTTCGAAAAGCACACGAATCCTTCCTGAGCATCATTCTCCTTTACTCGCATGGCCCAGTGAAGCGGAAGGTACCATGAACGAATATGCGTATTCGGCATATCACTTAAGGTAGCCATTTTGTCAGTAATATTATACACACACTCACACATAAGTCCACTTGGTCATATCAGCTGTCGATGTAGACATATCAGTGGGCGACAGGTCCATAACAGAAGTAATAATAATAATAATCTACTTTATTCCAAGACGAACAGTACTTATAATACAGAATGGAATTCTCAGCATTTATCACAACACTTTGCATCTGATTTACTCAAAGTATAAATAAAATTAAAAATTAACTCAAAAGTAACCAGAGAAATTTGTCCACGTTTACGATAGTAAGTCGAAATTATTCGAAGTACGAATCGAGAATATTAAATGTAATAATAATTATAACAGTGAGTTTGTTTCAAACAGTATTGGTGATTCAGTCAGTTTGGAAACTTTAGCGTGTTATAGATTATTGAATCTAATCTTCTGTTGATATAGCAGCATGGTAAGGGGAAATACAAAATTAGCAGTTATAACATAGCTTAAATGATGTTCACACTTATAAGGAAATAATTAAAAATAAAAACAAAACATTGAGAGGATTATAAATATAGGAATTACAATAACGATGAAGTTTGATACTGTATGGGTGGAGGGAATGGTTTATTTAGTAGTGCAAAGAAGGTTAGTTAGTTAGTTCGTGCCTAACACCATTTTCATCACATAAATTACGTGCAGCGAAATATGGTATAGTGGAATTTTTACACTTAGATGTACATGCATAAAGTCTTCTGAAAAGACTTCTTGTTTTACCTGAGGAGGAAACACAAGGTTGGAGCTGCAGGTGCTGTGGTTGATGCTCACAGTCCCACAAATTTCCCTTAGCAAATTTGTTGCATGACATCAAGTGCCTATCAGTGACAATGTCAACGATATGGCCCAATGGGATAGCTACCATTCGTCCTACTGACAGTCTTTAGAGGCCTACGAAGTATGACATAGTCTTTTTTAAGCAATCCAGGAAAGAATAAGCAAGGGTGAACAGTAAAAAGAATAGGCAAAATACGCGAGTCGACAAACTGTAAGAGGAGGGGTTGGGTTATGCCTGAGTGCCTTAACTTCTTTATGTAAAAAGTCAATCGAAATATTCTTTTAGAAATTGCTAAGACATGGAAAGACCAGGATAGGTCAGAGGAAAGAATTCATCCAAGATACCTAACTTCAGACTTGATTTCTATATCCTCACTACCATCAATTTTGATCACTTAACTTTCGTTTACATCGGAAACTGAGATTAACAGTCTGATATTTGGAGGCATTTAGTTTAAGACCATGCGCTAACTCCTGATAGAAAGCTGTTCTTGGTTGAGAGAATTATATTCATTATTCTTAAATAATCCTATTACTTTCTCCATGGTTTCATACACTTTCATCACATGTCATTGTCTAAAACTTAAAATCAAAGCAATTTCATAACTGCATATTTCTGCATTATAATTCAAAAACTTGATCGTTTGTGTTATAAATGTAGGTCAGTGCATTGACATTAAATCTTTGAGCCTTTTCTAAGCGCATTTGCGCAATACTCTCTCTCTCTCTCTCTCTCTCTACGACGTTGTTGGTTTGGCATAATAATATTGGATTAGTGTTTATAAAGAAGCGTGTGACCTTCTCGTATCACATGTGCATAAACCTTAATGTTAGTTATAATTAAACTGAACCTTAACAATTGTCAGGTCATTTACTTGTTGTGTAATAATAGCAATAATAAAAATAATAATAATAGTAATAATAATAATGTGGTAGATATTTCATTAAAGTGTCCACTAGAAAAGAATATTTTTAGTAGCATTTGTAGTTCAGCGTTCTGAATTTTGTCCAGTTTTGATGGGTGACCTAATTAATTTATACAATTTGCAACTAAACAATTGAATCTAAATTCAGACAGAATTAGCCGGTTCTGATATTATCGTGTATAACTCTACAATTATTATTAGTATTATTATATCCTTTAATTCTTAGAGGAACATAGGGCTTCAGCTGCACGTCTCCACTACGTTCGGTTCTCTGCCAACGTTTTCACTCCGCTCCAAGTTTTCACACATGCTTTCATCACCTTTTTACATGACCTCCTCCATGTCACCCTCACACTGACGACCAACTTGCTGCTTCCCTTTCGGGTTCCACTCGAGCAATGGCTTGTCTAGTGATGTCACTTGATGGTTTGTTTCCTCAGAGTATGGCCAGCCAATCTACCTCCATTTCTTCCTGCCTAATTGTTTCACAATCGGTTTCTGCTGGCTTGGTTCGCTCATTGCCAGAGATCCTTCCCTGTTGCTGATCTTTTTTGGCCATCTGATCTTGAGTATTGAACGAAGAGAGCTGTTAACGAAGGTCTGAAGTTTGTTTGAGATGCTCTTTATGACACACTGGCCAAGTCTCTGATCCGCACATTAAGTAGCACTGACTTCACATTGGAGTTGAAAATCCGGATCTGATTTTCATTTTCATGCTGAGTGCTGTTGACCTCCACACAGACTTGAGTGTAATGAGAGTCAACTCCATTTCTCCCTGCCTAACTCTACAATACTGACATTTTTCATTCTCCCCTTCCATACAAGTTTTCAGCCGTCGCTGTCTCTTCTGCTGACAACATTTGTCGGCTTTCGAGTTGGTGTTACATTTTAGAAATTAATCATCGGCGAAGTTCAGATAGATCTTCTAGTGTCTTTTTTGTCGGCCCAGCGTACTCCTGTCTTCTCTGTCTCTCTCAACGCACACACACACACACAGTTCTTTGGATGATCCAGTCCACCACAATCAGTAATATCATTGATGATAATAGGCAGCTTTGTCGTACTCATGTCTTCAATTCAAAGACAATAGCTGAGTTGTTTTTGTCGTGATTCACCTAACATAATTATAATTTATCTATGCAATGAGAGTGATGAATGTTTAGAATAGTGCAGTCCGTAGTGCTGAACCAGCTTCCAAATTACTTCGTGGGGGTTAATGCTGTCGAAAGCCTTTTCAAATTCAATGAAGATGTAGTTAGATGTGTTGACTGGCAATCTATACTCATGACGAAATCCTATAAACCAATCAATTAAATCCCTACAAACCAATACTTAAATATCAACGAGATGCTCACTGGCGACTGGCCCTATTCAGGTAGGTAGTTAGTTACCCGAGGGTTCTAGTGGGAAGTCGTGACCAGCAGGTCGGATCTGAGGACAAATACTCGCCGAAGACCACTGGCTAGCGGTCGCCCTATGTCGTCGTGAATTAGCAGAAGTTGGAATTCATCGGCTGGTCAATGGACCAAGTCTATCGGGTGGTTAAATAGTCTACGATCTCGTCTTGAAACCAAAAGGTCATGGATTCGAACCCTGGCTGTGGGATGGGGGTGCGTACCGATGAACAATCCCAAACTAGGCTCATGAAAAACATGTCTGGCAGTAATCCCAGGTTTTCCAATGGCTCTCTAACCGATATCATCTATAACCAAATAAAGGTGCATTTTGTTAAGTGGAAGAAATTCCGGTCAGTCGCTATCAGTTTAACCCATCAATCACTGGTCATAGTGAGAATTTCACAGTTCCTCAAAAAATAAATAATAAATAAATATTGATTAGAATAAAATCATTATGCCTATTGTTTTAACTCTAGTTTCAGGATGTTGTCGATCAAGGTCATTTGTCAAAATTTGATGAAATTGAAATTAGTGATTTTATTTCCCCGGATTTTTATGATACTGCTGCTGCGACTGGAGATAATGATGTGAAAGATGTTGGCAATCAGTTGAAGGCATTACGTATAAATACACCTAGTACACCGAATAATCTTCAAGATTCTGATGAAGTGAAACAATTAAAGCATTTAAGTGATCCAGTGAAATCGCCTACAGATACAGTTTACTTAGAAAGTAGAGAGCCTGAACCTGAAGAATTAGCAATTTTATTACAAGATCCTATTCAACCTTCAGGTAAGAGGTTTGTTTGTTTGTTTGTTTTTTATGCTGTTTATGCCCCCTTTTTTTGAATTATTAGAATACAGCTTACATTGGCTATTCGATTGTTGAATCCGATAACTGGATAGCTCCACCTAGCAAACTGATGATCTCGGGCTGGAATCTGTTTGTCTGTCTGTCTGTTTTTGAAATAGAACCTTGCACATATGTGTGGCAGTTCAAGTCGCCACACTCGATGTAGCACACAAAGCAAGAGAAGAAAGTAGAAGAAATGCATAATAGAGACAGTAAACAGAGGAACAAAGGAATAGTAATAACGAAGAACAAAACAGTTTCATTGGAAATTATAAGTCACATGGAGTGGATGCATCTGTGCTGTCATTGAGAACGATTTTGAGCCATATCACCAATTTTTTCCAACCATTGGTTTTTACCGTCCTGGGGACCCCAACCAGTCAGGAAGTCTACACCTTCCTACGTGGCTTAGACTAACTGTTGTAGATTTCATTGACTGGTGTCAGGTTTTTGTTTGACCTCCGCTAGCTTTTTTCCAGCCTGACCCTATATCCGCTAATATTGCTCGTCGAGGAAGGCGATGACTAGGCATTGATTCGTAACACATGTCCTAACCATCTCAGTCTTTGTAACTTCACAACTTCGTCGATTGATTTCCCCTGTTTACCTAGCACTCGACGCCTAACCTCAATATTGCTCACTTATTATACCTCTTCAAACGGGAGACAGAACGCAGGCACCTATGATCAAAAACAGCTAATCTTTTCATGTCTTCCACTCTCAGTGGCCAGCCGTAAAGGAGGACAGAGCGGAGTGATGAGCAGTACACCCACCCTTTGGTCGATAGTCGAATAACTCGTCTACGCCAGAGACGCCGTAAACTGGTATATGCGAATCTAGCCCTCTGTATCCGTGCTGAGATTTCGTCAGAGATCAACCAGTTGGGGCTGATTGTACTCTCAAGTAAGTGAAGCGGTCAACGTGCTCTACCACTTCACTTCCTATTTTTAAACTAGGCGTCGATGTAGTCCAGTCCTGTAACATCATCTTGCATTTGACGGGAGCGAATCGCATGCCAAACATTCGTAGATTGCAGCTCAAGGTGTTTAGAAGACTCTGCTGGGTTTCGTCAGCGTCCTCGCCTGGAAGGACTATATCGTCCTCATATCCTGAGTCAACGAGATTATTCCCTGGTAGCAAGTCAATCCCTGAGTCTCTGAAGTGAGTAAGGGTTAAATCCATTAGTACATCTATGATGAAATTGAATAGAAATAGGGATAATGGGCATCCCTGACGGACACTACTAGTCGTCACCACTTCAGACGACAACTCGCCGTGAGCCCTCACCTGGCTGACTGCATGAGTTCGAATGGAGTGCCTTGATCAGTGCAAAGTATTTTCTCGTCATTCCCCTTACAGCCAAGCATCGCCAGAGTACCTCTCGGTTGACAGAATTGAATACCGCCTTCAGGTCATGAAATATGATGATTGCTGGACGCCGGTAAGAATGCCTATGTTCTAGAATCTGTCGAAGGGTGAAGATATGATCAATACACAAAGGATTGGCGCATTGCAATGTCTATTTTAACATGTAAATGATTCTTTACGTTGCCCTCTCACTTGAATACTTTGATTTTAGGTTTAATCCTAACAACAACAGAATGTATCCCGATAGCAGATGACAATTTACTGACAGCTGCTGGCAGTGTTATGCTAAACAATTCAAAGATATTTGTCCACCCATCTATGGTGACTGTAACACGCTCTGATGGGGATTTATGCCAAAGTCAAGTGAACAGTTTCATTCGCCTGCATGAAACTGAATTGTCTATACCAGATTCATTTTTTGAAACATCTGCTGGCACTGCTAGCATTGTTGCCTCCGCAAATTCACCACCATCAAGTGTATACGAAGGGAATTTAACCTGTGTAAAATCTCCAACAAATAATGCGATGAATATGGTCACTAGTAGTACAACGATAGCAGCGATGGGGCTGTCGATTTCGGTTACCTCAGCAAAATCTCAAAATTATACACTTACAAGTTCAAGTTCTACATCAGTCTTGAATTCCGGTTGTTCTACAAGTCGTGTTATCAATATTAATGCTCTTTCGAGTATTACTACGAGTGGACAGACAAGCACAACTACATTTCCATCAACATCATCATCATCGCCATCTTCGTCGCCAAGTTGTAGTAGTTTACTGCTTCAAAATAATTTCTTAAAAGGTAGGCATGTTTCCTTAATATTAATAATTACCCCATTCTGATATAGCCACTTTTCTTAAGTATGCTGATGACCTCTCAACTCTCAGTCAGATTGTTCCAAATTATTAAATAACATTCTGTCGGAAATTAGTCAGTGGTCCTCTTCAAACGGTCTTAAGCTGAATCCGTCTAAATGTCAGGTAGTGAATTTCACTTTCAGACGTAAACGTGACCTACAACAACTAGCTAGCTCACATGGCCCACTATTATTGACGGTAGAGAGGTTTAAATTACATCTAATGTCAAGTACCTTGGACTGAGTATTTCCTTCTATCTTTCCTGGTCCTTCCACATTTTGCTAGTTACTAGAAAGATGTTTCGCTTAACGTTCTATGTTAGGAATTTAGGCAGTCTGGCATAAAGTAGTCTTTGCTTTCTCAGTTTGTAAATTCTTGTATTCTACCCATCCCTCTTTACTGATCCCCATTAATCTTTCCTGGACTACTTAAGAAAGATTTTACTTTGCTGAGAAGGTCAGGTACTAAAAGCCGTTAGTAGGGCAAGTGGGATATGGTTAAACCAACTGGTTAACACTATGGTGGATAGACATATAATGTCATGTAAGAAATTAGGGAATACAATATTGTCAGACCCGAGCATCCTCTCTATACGCAGCCGGCTCCTTGCATTTCATCTGGTAGAACTATAAGCAGCTATAGGAGGCTATATGCTAGGACTACCAAGTACAAAAACTTCACAATACCTTATCTGCCACAGCTGTTACGTGATGAGAAATCTGTTAGGTATGACACGATCAACTTACTGCGGCACTCTAACAAATAGTCCCATTAGTTTTTGTTTTCCTTTCTCGTTGCTATTACACTGTTGTACACATCTTCTATTACACACTATTTTATATTTCATATGCTGTGGTGCACTGTTTAAAATGTAAACGCAACGCTGTTCTTTCTATTTTCTTTATTTATCTATTTTTATTATTATTATTATTATATCCTCTAATTCCTAGAGGAACATAGGGCTTCAGCTGCGCATCTCCATTGCCTTCGGTTTTCTGCCAACGTTTTCACCCCGCTTCAAATCTGCCCACAGGCTTTCATCTCCTCTTCACATCACCTCCTTCAAGTCACCCTCACACTGACGACCAACTCGCACTTCCCATTCAGTTGAGTTCCACTTGAGGGCTTTTCTAGTGATGTCACTTGATGGTTTCCTCAGAGTAAGGCCAATCCATCTCCATTTCTTCCTGATTATTTGCTGCACAATCGGTTTCTGGTTGGTTGGTTTGCTCATTGCCAGAGATCCCTGTTGCTGATCTTTTCTGGCCATCTGATCTTGAGTATTGAACGAAGACAATTGTTAATGAAGGTCTGAAGTTTGTTTGAGATGCTCTTTATGACACACTGGCCAAGTCTCTGATCCGTATAGTAAGTTGCACTGACTTCACATTGGAGTTGAAAATCCGGATCTAATTTTCGTTTTCATGCTGAGTGCTGTTGATCTACAAACAGATTTAAGACTAATTAAAGCCTGTCTTGCTTTTCCGATTCTGGCTTTGATATCCTCGTCAGTTCCGCCTGTAATTGAAACAATGCTTCCCAGGTAGGTGGATAGGTGAAGGAGTTTGTTTCTTTCAGGTTCCTCCCATTTATGCTGGCTGATTGTTGTCTGTTGTTGTTGCTATTGGTGTTGACCAGGAATCTTCATCACCTCTGTTTTCTCTATGTTCACCTGAAGGAAGTCCTATCTTCGATGCTTCCTCTACCAGCTTGTTGCTTTTCACTTGCACATCTTCCAGCTTGTGGGAAATCAGACATATATTATCGGCGAAGTCCAGATCCTCCAAGTTTTTTGTGTGAGTCCATTTTATGCATGTTTCCTCATTGCCCGTTGTCTGTCGAATTATCCAATCTACTGCAATCAGGAAGATCATTGGCGATAGTAGACAGCCTTACCTCACTCCCGTCGTCACTTCGAAGGCTTCCGTAAGTTTCCCGTTGTGGATTACTTGGCATGCAGTATTGTCGTATAACTGTTGGATGAGATGTGTAATTGTCGATTGCACCCCTTAGTAGCGAAATAGTTGACAAATCACCTTTCGATCGACGCTGTCGAAGGCCTTTTCAAAGTCGATGAAATTGAATGAGATAGAGAGGTGACTGCCATTCCAAGCTTTGTTCAATGATGATCCTTAGTGTAGCGATTTGATCAATACATGACTTGTTTCTCCTGAATCCAGCTTATTCCGGTCGAAGTTTTTCATCCAGGGCTTGTTTGATTTTCTGTAGCAACTTTGTTTACAGGATGGGGTTCCTAGCCTCACGCCTCAGAAAAGGAATTGTTACATTAAGATGAAGTTTAGAGAGAAGCGACCTCGTGAGTTGCTCCCCTTATAATCGGAAAACAAGGAATAAAACAATCTATTTTTTTGGTTGTTGCTTTTTGACTTTAAAACCTTATAAAATTTATGAGGTAATTAGATGCAATATGTTGTCATGCACGCTGAAAATTCCATACCTGTACCACAAATACTGTTTGGAATAAAGCTCTTATTATTATTAATTATCATTATTATCCAGGTGGGAATAGTTTAGGCAAAGCGTTACGAGAATTCAATCAGTTAACTTGGTTCCGATTTCGTCATTATATGCCATGCATCCTTAATGCTTTGGATTATCGTTTATCGTTTACTGATGATGAACATTTACAGGTTAGTTGAACTGCTGTATTTTGGATTTACTTTCTTTTGTATACTATATATGAATACTAGTGGACAAGACTTCTTTTATAACCTGGCACATACGACGCATGTTCCAGGGAAATGTGTTCCAACGTCGGTTATATGTGCATTTTACTGGAATGATTAACAAATTAAGAGCTGTTTTTTTGCCAAACAGAAATAAGTGTCAATCTATTACTGTGGATATCCAACAGCTGTCTGCGCTCAATACAGAAGGTTAGAAGGGAAAAATAAAGTCTGGCAACGAACCAGCCAATAATAATAATAATAATTTGCTCTATTCCAAAACAGTACTTGTGATACAGAATGCAATTCTCAGGATTTTACTACAGTATTGCATCCAGTCTGTACACTAACAATAAATAAAATTCCACAGAGATTATGGTTAGTCCCAGTTAGTTTTCACAACAACATATTGGCATGTCGGTAGCAAGCCAAAAGTGAACAGAATGTTTGCAGGCGTTAGAAAAGTAGATACTAGCATGTTTACTAGCGTAAGTGGCAACAAAACGGTCGAGATATAGAGAGTGTGAGAGAACGAAGAAGAATGTTTTAAGTTGAGTTTGTATGGAAGACAGAAACAAAACAGCACATAACGACAACAAAAAAGAGAAAAGGAAAAGAAAGAAAGAAAACGTTGTACCTATAAATGATATGAGTTGGAAAGACGAGATCCAATTGTCCTACTGACTATTTAATAAGTTATAAGTTTCACGCCTAATGCTCTCTTTATCGCACAGAACACGAGTCAAGTAGGATATGGTTGAGGTTTTGTACTTGCTAGTGCGAGCATATAGTTCGCTATATAGCCTTCTGGTCCTGACTGATGAGATAGATACAAGGGGAGAGTTGTGAATGAAGAGGGTGGTGTGAGTTAGATAAAATGGATTTAGCCCATTTTTCACATGAATCCATGTGCCTGTCAACCAGAATAATAACAAGCTGGTTAAGTGGCACCCTGTGGCTTACCCTGCTGACAACCATTAGCATTTATTTTATTTATTTTTCTTTTATTTTTGATTTACAGCTTGATTCCACACTGTATTTTTGGTACAAGTATGGAATTTTTAGCATGGATATCGGTAGCCCAAATTTTGCAGGCCAACCATAGATATCAGGTGTGCATCGGCGTGGGCTCGAACCCCGGACCATGTGCATGGTCGGCGAGAGTCCTAACCACTGTGCCACCGACGCACACAATTCACACCACGATACACCCATTGACTGGGCATTGGTTTTCAGGAGAACCAAACACACGCATCCCGCCTCTTGCGAGACGAGAATGGCATGCAGGATCAACCTGTGGCTCAACCACTCGAGAGCCCTCTCTCTCGGTGGACCAAAACCTGGGAGTACTGGACAGCTGTTTTGTCCTAGCTTGGGACTCTTCATCAGTACGCACCCACCGGGATTCGAACCAGGACCTTCCGGTTACAAGGCGAGCTCGTATACCATTAAGACACTGGGACATCCTGCGTAATAAGTTATAGTCTTTCTTCAGTAGCCCTGGCGAAACTAAGGGGGAACAATAGAGAATAATCGGCAGGATGCAAGAGTTAACGAATCGTAAGTGTAAGGTTTGGGTTGGGTTATTCCAGAATGTCTTAAATTTTTGATGTAGAAGGTAAGACGGGATATTTTCTTAGAAATCAACAAGATATGAGACGACCAGGAAAGATCATCAGATAGAATGACACCAACAACTGCTTGCCCAACAAATGTGCAGAATGAAATAAAGATGGATTGGACGTACGCGCTGAGGAGACTTTCGATTGACAGCACATGTCAGATTCCGAATAGGAAGCGTTGGATTATGTGTGAAGAGGAAATGATAGACGACAGGCAGTTGTGAAGCTCCGGTTAAAACTGACTGCTTTGAGTTGTGCCACTGAATTCCTATGCTCCAATCGAAACTTAGTCAACGAGCAATAATAAATAATGATTACTAAGCATAAAAGTATACCCAATATATCTGTACAAATCTATATTTTTCTTTATTTGTGTATGTTGACTAATAGTGGAATCCAGGATGCCCATTTTGTCCTATTTAGGACTCGTCATCTGGATGTACCTGCATTTCCCAGTGACTGACGATGCTCCTACCGAGGCTCGAACCCAGTGCCCATAGCGTTATCCACTAGACCACTAGGGCCACGACAGCCACCTCTTGTGCAACGGATCATATTATTTCATTGAATTTTAGATTTTCACGTCGACTGACTGGACCGAAGTGCTCGGTCTCAAGTTGACATTTCGGCTTCTTATGCAGATGCTTCAGCTATATCTGGGCATGTAATTAAAAGTTAATTGGTGTATGGTGACTAGCATTTGAATCCAGGATACGCATTTCGTCCTATTTGGGACTTGTCATCTGGATGCGCATCATGGAATTCCACTGCTAATCACCATCCACCAATTAATTTCTAATTACATATGCTCAGACATCGTCGAAGAAGCATCTGCACAAGAAGCCGACATTTCAACCTGAGACCCCGAGTACTTGGATCCAATCAGTCGACGTGAAAATCTAAAACTCAATAAAATAAATAAGCTTAACTGACAAGATTTTTGGCATAATTTCATTCGTTTTCTAATGGTTCATGTAATTCTAGAATTTTATGCCGTTCAACATCTTTTTGATTCACCTACTCCTTTGTTTCGACAAACTTTTATTTACTATTCCTGATACTTTACTAACTTAAGATGTGTATTTATATTATCACTGTTATGTACACTGCTGGTGAGTGAGTTATTAGAGTTTTCCCCGTCGCCAATTATGTTATGTACTCGTCGAGTAGTTAATAGTCCTGACGCCGCGGAAAGAGGGAAATCAGAAGACCACCAGGTTTACGATGATACTTGTATTTTTCCAGACAAGGAAAATAAATGTCACACAAGAGTGTGAGTGAAAGGGTACTTAGATGTACGAAAATGTGTGTGTGTGTGCGCCAGAATAATGTACAAGTGTATATTACAAAAGTATATATGAAAATGGCTAAAACACATGAAACAATAAGATAACGTCTTACCATGATTGGTTGTACTGTGATGTGATAACAAAGTCATACATGTTTATTTAGTTAGTGGACAGACAAAAGCATAGTGTCAGTTATAATGGAATATCGATCCATATACACATAGCAAAATATAACAGACTGTCAAAAACAAAACACACATCATGTGGATACATATCAATCATATAAAAAAAGTTTGTGGCCTCAGTGTGCTACGATAGAATTCTTGCCGAACACGTGCGTGATCTGGGTTCCGATTCCCGACTGACGCACTCCTTTTTATTTTTTTTATGGTTACAGCTTGATTCCACATCGTATTTTTGGTAAGTGTGGAATTTTCAGCGTGGATATCGGTAGCCCAAAATTCGCAGGCCAACCACAGATATCAGGTGTGCGTCGGCGAGGGCTCGAACCCCGGACCATGTGCATGGTCGGCGAGAGTCCTAACCACTGTGCCACCCGATGGTTAACCGGGTAGAGGGCGAAGGTTGAGCCTGGAACTAACAACATTCTCACTCTGTCAAAACAACATCACCTCTACTGAAACTTAAAAGCTCACGTTTGAAGCCCTTTGTTTCAATTGGAACTCAAAGGATCGATAAAAGATTGTGTTGCATATAATTTCATTTAACATTTCTCCAAAGGGCAGGTGTACTGCTCAGAAGTCCGCTCTGTCCTCCTTCATGACTAGCTGTGAGACTTGGCCATTGAGAGTGGAAGACATGAAAAGCATGGCTGTCTGTCTTTGACCATAGGTGTCTGCGTTCTGTCTCCTGTGTGAAGTGGTATATTAGGGTGAGGAATCCTGAGGTAAGGCGTCGAGTGCTAGGTAAGGAGGGAGGGGAAATCAATCGACGAGGCTGTGAAATTACATCGATTAAGGTGGTTAGGACATGTGTTACGAATGAATGCATAGTCATCGCCCTCCTCGATAACAGGCAATGTTAGCTGTCATAGGGTCAGGCTGGGAAAGCGCTACCACGTTGTGGTCAAACCAAAACATGGCTTCACCACTCAGTGAATAAATCCACAACAGTTAGTTGAAGCCAGCCAGACAGCCAACCACGTAGGAAGGTGTAGACTTCCAGACTGGTTAGGGTCCTCGGGACGGTAAAAACCAATGGTTGGAAACAATTGGTGATATGGCTCAAAATCGTTCTCGGTGATGGCTGGTGCAGATGCATCCACTCCTTGTGACTTATGATACTTAATGAAACTATATTCTTCTTCGTTATAACTATTCCTTTGTCTCACACCTCTGTCTACTCTCTCTATTATGCGTTTCTTCTACTTTGTTCTCTTCCTTTGTGTGCTACATGAAGGGAGTATGGCAACTTGAACTGGCGCACATCGGTGCAAAGTCCTATGTTGAAAACAGACAGACAGACAAGGGGATTAAATGACGCCTTATGTTGTGGCTTTAATTCTTAACTTCCTAACTGGACAAACGTGTGTACGCTGTCCTTCTTTTCATTTTGTTGCATTCTGTGTCAAATAATCACATTTTTATACCATAATAAAATCACTGATTATGTAATAAAAGGTAAGAAGAAATCAGGCTAAATCAATACACCTATAGTTACGTGTAAGGTGAGAACAAAGGACAGTCACAGGTAATAGAAATTTAATATTATTATGTATATATATATATATATATATATATATATATATGTTAAGCACAGCCAGACAAAATTTACCTTAATTGTCAATACAGGTGAATCATTCATTGAAGGAAGCATTGGAACACATATATAGTTTTAGACACCTAGTTCAAGGTTTGTACACAGATGTTTTTCTTTTCTATGCACTATTTATCTATAGATCAATCAATATGTTGGTTATTTTATTTTATTCTTATAAAGCAAAACATCACAGAAGTTTTACAATAACTTGAAATAATCAGGCATACATATTTGTTCTTCACTAAGCATCCTCGTATATACAACAAATGGCCAT